TGCCATTCCTTTAAACAGAACATTCCTTGTTGCTTGGGTATATGAAGGAATCTCTGTGTTGTCTATTATTACACAGTATTATTGAGTCTAATGTACACATGCCCTTGAGCTTCTTGGATCCCTCCTTCCCCTTGTCTGCTTTGGAAGTTCTGTGATACTTAGCTGGGCCAAGCTAAGTGGCTAAGGCTTCTAAGAACTACCCTAGCTGTGCATCAGCACCGTCTCCCTGGTCTCTGCCAGAGCTCAATCTTTTATCATTGGAAAGTGCTTACATATAAATAAACTCTCTCTCATCCAACTTTATGTTCTTTCCCCCTTGACCCAGAATCCTCAGGATCCAGGCTCATATGTACTCTCTCGTGGCTCCTCTGGGTTTATTTGGGTGAGGTTCTACGGCAACTCTGGCAGGCCCAGCACCTGACTGAGCCGTGTGTTGGGTCTTCTTCACTCCAGTTATTGGCTTAGTGTCAGAGCAGGTGAGGCAATTCTGAGTGGGTACATGTTATCCTGGGATGCAGAAGTTAACGCATCCTCTTCAACAAGGGAAACGAAGGCAGTGAGCGGAAGCTTAACAGGAAGAAGGGGGCTACTTCTGCAGGTCCATATCCAAGATTTTCGGGTGCATGAACCCAGATGTCCTCATCCCAAGTTTCAGGTCCTACTTCTTTCCAACCGTGTCCCTGACCTTGGCTTAGCAGGTATGATGGTGCTGGAATCCAATCTTCTCTTGAGCTCTGCCAATCTTAAATGCCAATCTGCCATGGTCCTCAGCACCTTCCATCTTCCAGCTGCATGAGATGAGAGCGTTATAGGCTGTCAAGGAGGCCCTCTGGCTTTTCATACACAGCCTTTAATTGGCGATTAATCACCTTCAGCATTTCTCGAACGCACTGACTGTCCCCAACAACCAACAACCAATTCCATACTCTTTGTAATTTCTACTTCTCTTGAACTTTTCCGAGGCCTCAGATATTGACCCTACCAGAGCATTCCCAGTATCCCATTCCAGTTAAGCATCGGTGAAAGTTTCAATAATTACGTTGCCACAGTGGTGGTCCATGCTCCGTGTTCCACCGGTAATGGGATCCTCCACTGGCAACCTACCGGTGCATGATCTGGCTCCGAAGTCTCATGGCAGAATCTGCTTCCTGAGACCATTCTTGGCTATTGCTGCCTTAGATGGGCTTCCCTGGAAAGACAGACTGAGACAGAGATTGGCATGCAAGACATCCACCGTGGTATGCCATCGGACTCAAAACCTGTGTCTGTTGGAAGTACGATGAGGCAGACAAAAAAAGTAGCAGTGCAGTCACAAACAAAGGCCTCAGCTGACCTCATGGGTAGCACTGGAGCTGAGATGGCCTTTCAGAGTTGTCCCGCCTTAGGCGAGGGGACTGGGCTTTTATAACCTGGATGTAGGATGTGTTTGGAGAAGAGTCGGGACTTAGGTGAATGAACAGTCTTCAGCTGATGGATATTCAAATATCAACTCTGCTGAGTGTGCTCAGCCACCAACTCTGCCTGCAGCTGAGGGAATGAGTGCTTTAGTCCTAAAGGATGCACCCAAGAACCTTCTGAGAAGTCTAGTTTCTATTCCCAAATTTCTGCCCTGTTTCCTCCCTCTCACTATTGATAATATTTTTAAAAATATATAGTGTATCCTTCCACTTAAAAATATTAACAATACATGTATGCACTATATACACACACACACACACTTTTTTTGGGGGGGGGGTAATTGGCAGCCTGCTGTGATGGTTAATTTTTTGTGTTAACTTGATTGGGCCACAGGGGTGCCCAGACATTTGCTTAAACATTGTGGATGTTTCTGTGAGGGTTTTTAGTTGAAATGAACATTTAAGTCAGTATACTGAGTGAAGCAGAGAGCTCTCCCCAGTGTGGGTGGGCCTCACCCAATCAGTCAAAGACACGAATCAAATAAAAAGGCTGACCCTCACCCAAGTAAGAGAGAATTCCTCCTGCATGTCTTCAAACTGGGACACTGGCTTTTTCCTCCCTTCAGAATCGAACTGACTTTTATAAGAAATCTCTCGTGTTATTTTAAAAATATCACCAACACCATGATTTTATTTAAGGAGATTTATTAAAAGCAATTGGCCCGCATGATTACGAAGGCTGACAAGCCCCAAGATCCACAGAGTGAGTCAGCAATCTGAGATTTAAGAGAGCCGAAGATGAAGTTCTAGTCCAAGTCTGAGGGCCTGAGAGCCAGGAGAGCCAAATGGTGTAATTCTAGTCTAAAGGTTGGCAGGCCTAAGACCTGGGATAAACTGATGTGACAGTTTTTCTGAAGGCAGGAAAAAGCTGATATTCAAATTTGAAGACAGGTAGAAGGAAATCTCTCTTATTTGGATGTGAATCCGCCCTTTTATTCTATTCAGGCCTTCAACGGACTGGACAAGGCCCACCTGCATTAGGAAGAACAATCCCCTTTACTCAGCCTATTGATTTAAATGCTGTTAATCTTACTATACAGTAAGTCTCCAAAGTACAATGGTACAACTTACAAATTTTCGACTTTATGATGGTGCGAAAGCAGTATGCATTCAGTAGCAACCGTACTTCCAGTTTTGAATGTTTATCTTTCCCCTAGCTAGTGATATGCAGTACAATACTCTCTTGTGTATCTGGGTAGGCAGCAGTGAGCCCAAGCTCCCAGTCAGCTATACAATCACCAAAGTAAAACAACCAATACATTTAGGACTGTTCTATCTATACTACCATTCTGTCTTTCACACTCAGTATTCAAGAAACTACATGAGACATTCAACAGTTTATTATAAAATTAGCTTTGTGTGAGCTAATTTTGCCCAACTGTAAACTAACATAACCAACATGATGTTGAGCACGTTTAAGGTAGGATAGGCTAAGCTTTGATGTTCAGTAGGTTAGGTTTAACAAATGTATTTCTGACTTAGGATATTGTCAGCTTCTGACTGGCTTATTGAGGAAGATCTATGAATATACAGTCATCCTGTTGACTATTTCTCTAGAGAAAACCTCGACTACTGATATTAATACCATATGTATGTTTTTCCATCTTGCTGTATTCACTTAGGAGTGTATTCTAGGGAATCAATCTGTAGCAATGTACACAGCTGTTTCTCATTTGGATAATTCCATAAGATTCCAGAGTGTAGATGTAACCTAGCTTTCCAACCAATCTCCTTCCAAAGGACATCTGGGCCATTCCAGTCTTTTGCTATGATTAGTGTGATAGTTACCACAGTTTTACCAGTTCCTTACTGGTAGGTATTGAAGGTATCTCCAGTTTATAATTTTTTGCTTTATAAAAAACTGATGCAATAAATACCTTCGTGTATACAGAAACCAAGGATGCTAGAAGACTAGAGTCCTGAGAGTGGGTCATGGGTATGTGTAAAATGTGTATTTTTATTTTTAAAAATTTTCACAAAGTCGGGGTGCCTCAGTGCCTCAATTGGTTGAGTGTCCGACTCTTGCTTTCTGACTCAGGTCATGATCTCATAGGTTGTGAGATCGAAGCCCCATTGGGGTCCGTGCTCAGTGCAGAATCTGCTTGGGACTCTTTCCCTCTTCCTCTCCCCCCTCCCCTATTCCTCCCTGCGCTCGTGTGCTCTCTCTCCCTCAAGAATAAATAAATCTTAAAAAAATTTTTTTTCACAAAGCTTGGCATATGCTTACAAAAAAAATGTTAACGATATATTACATTCCCACCAGCAATGACAGTTCTCATTCCTCACAACCTCTTCCGCATTGGATGCTGTCACCTGTCCTAATTTTTCTCATATGATGAGTGAAAATAAAATCTAATTGTCCTTTTAACTTGCATTCTCTGACTACTCATGAAATTAAGCATCTCTACCTAATCCTTGGTTAGTAAGATATAAGTAAGACGACTTGCCTCTTTTAACCATTTGTACAATGTTCTGTTTTTCTTACTAGAATACAATGGGAGATGAAATCCTTTTGATTATTTCCTGAGGTAAAACTAGTAACTGGCCCAGAAGTTTACCTAATTTTGGCACATCCTAATCAAGCCCGAACTTAATCTTCTCACAATTTTTCCCCCAAAACAGAGGGAAAAGAAAAAGGGCGGAGGGAGATCCTGCCAGGCACTAACTATGTGGGGTACTGTTTATAGCTCCCTGAGAGCTGGCACAGTAGGCATTTAAAACACATATGTCAAATGATCGAAGACCAGGGACCACCTGAATGTTCTGCTTTGCAGAACTTTCACACATCTCTGAACTGATAGAAATCCTAAACAATCGCAGACTAAATATTGATGGCCTCAACAGAAACTGTGTTAGATAAATATTATTTAGAAAAAATAAAGTGACTTTTCTTACATCCCAGAGCTCATGGAGTAAAATTCATGTATGTCACAAATCTAAGGAAATGTGCCAAAGAGAACATGTGGGGAGGACTAAAGCTGTAAAACAACAACAACAAAATACCACCTTGGTCTAACTGGAAGAGGAACTCCATTCATGGTTCAGAAGATAAGACCAAATAAGATAATGTGGGACAATAATGGGAAATCAGAATAGGAGAGTGTTAAAACTTAAGAAAATGCTTTAACTTCGATTTTGGGATAGAATAGTCAGGTGGAGCTCCATAGGGTTTTGTGTTCAGAAGCAACTAGGTATTTGCCAAAATTATTTTTCATCAACTCAGCAAGAAGGGACCAGATGAAAAACTTACACCTATCTGTATAAAGTAGGTTTTGTGATTTCTCTATATGGATTTTAGAAAAAGATTTGTCATCTCCCACCTCACATCCGTACACAACGTATTACACCATACACACCTCTTGACTTGTGAAATAACTGATTTTTAGAATAATTAGTGAGTTTTTGAATATTAAAAAAATATGAATTAAATAAATCAACACCAACAGCTGTTTAACAGTGATAAAATATACTTTTATTTACTTTGTTGAGTTAGAGGATCGTAAAAAAATTATTGCTAAAGTAGATATCAGGCAAACAGAAAGGTGCTTTAGAAGTCCAGTTACCTTGGAGTTTATTTAAACTAAGAGGAAAAGGTCATAATGTTTTCATGCAATACATACTTGGTTCTTTAAATAACCATTGTGACAAATAACAGAAAGAATTATGGAATGCTGCACTTGTGATCCATACAAAACACCAACATTTTGGATTGTACATAATTTAAAGAAATGTCTCAAACACTTTTTGAAATACTGTAGTAGCCAATACACAGAGGCATGCCGTAGGTGGGCACAGGAATGCAGTTTATAAAAGAAAGAGAAACATCACACTGGAACTACTCAATTTCTTCAAAATCACTGAGCAAGAAAAGCAACATTGAACTTCCATACCGATTTTATACAACTTTTATACAGTACCTTGACTTAAATCCAAGAGCAAAAGTTAAGACTCTCCTCCTCTATTTTTGGTAAACAACTGCATGGTAAACTTAGATGACTTTTCCCCCTGGATTTTACCTGGGAGTGGCCTTTTTAATTTTTTATTTAAAAGAGGGCAGGTTTGGCACTTTTATACTGATGTCACCAATGTTAATATTTCTTGGGATCTCAGGAAGATTCATATTCTTTACAGCTGATACAGCACGGGCTGGAGCTCCCGCTAAGCCAGCCTGTATATAGAAGCAAATAAAAGAAAAAGAAAATGTACAACTCAGGTGTAGCTCATCAAAAAACACTAAAAATGGAGGACAATGATAAAAGATTCATATAACAAGCTTAGAGACCAGATGGTAGTTTGAATTTGTATGGGATGGTTACTTTGAAACTCTAATCTATAAAGAGAAAACAGTTGACACATTAAAAAATACAGTGAATACATGCAATGATAAGAACGAAAAAATTTAGATACAAATTAGCCTGCACTACTTAGACATCACATCCACTATTCAAATGACAAAAACCAGGCCTTCCCCTGAACCCTGGCTTACTGACTTATGATATAAGCATGAAGCATATTTTACATCAGTTTCCTTTTAAACATCTCTTATAACAATCATGATAGATTTGGGGTTTGTTTTGTTTTGCTTTGTTTTGCTTTTAAAACAGTATTATCAAAATGTGATGTAAAATAAAAACTGAAAGTAACAGATCATACTTGTCTAGTTTCTTTACTTAGGGCCAAACCCTTAAAGCATTTCAAAACAACAAATTTTTTAAACAAATTATTTTAATTGCGGAGGCTCTTCTAAATTTTTCTATGGAAGTTCTATAACACTGAAGAAAAAAAAAAATCAGGCTTTTCAAGTAAAGCCTCAGTCCAAGGAGAACAGTTCTGCCTAAAAATGAAACTGCAACAGGGGGACCTTTCCAACCTTTGATGAGTTAGAAAAAAATATAATGATTAAAAATACTTTGTCACATAAAGTAGAGCCAACAACATAGGTTCAGTTTACAATATACAAATTTGGAGAAAGAACAGCATAAATGCAAAAGGTATTATTTATGTAAATAAATGAATTTTAAAACTTCTAGTTAGCATTAGTGTACAGTATTTCACTTTTGTCTTAGGGAAATTTATAATTTGTGAAATAATTTTGAAAGAAAATACGCTTGAAAGAAAAATGCATATATATCATCTTTTTCAAATAGCTTCAACAGTCTTGATACTTTTATGGTTTAAGTTAGATTTAGATTTCATCAATTTTTATTGCCGTGACACAATCAAGGCAACATACATCTGAATTCAGTGGCATACATTATCTTGACAAAAGCAGACAATTAGGTAACAAAAACAAATCTTCCATATATGAAACAATGTCTGTGTAATTAGAATTACTAGTTTTAATGTCCCTTTTTGAAATTTTAGGGTTTTTTTCTCTTACATAATCCTACCTCTTTTGTTAATCAAAATAATAATAATAATAAAGCTGTTACCTGAGAAAAATCTTGACTGATACAAAATAGGCCAGTGTAAACTATTTGCTGAATAAAGGATACAAACATTGTTAAGCAATGAAATAAAAGCCACGGATTATCAACTCAGAATTGGAAATAACAGAAAAAATCAGTAAAATAGTATTAATAATAGCTATGGTCCACACAGGCAATGATATAAATGAAACACTCCATATCCAATTAAAGAATGAATAGGGCTGGAGCATTCAATTTTTATGATTTAATGGAAGTAAGTTGTTTTTGACTGACCCCTACATTTATACCTACCTGAAGCAACGCAGTTGTTTTTATACCCCCCAAAGATGTTGGAGATACGAATAAATATTGTTTAGGTTAACATGACTCATAATGAAAAGGGTCTTTAATCTGATTATTTCAAGTTCAACGTAGTCTAGCTACCAAAATTTGGAATGGTTTAGGATCAAAGAAGGATCCAGTTCAAAGAGGTTTACTATCTTGTCAAGGTTCTCTTCCTTTTACCCAAAAGTATGCTGTTGGCCAAAGAATAAATTATTTTACAAACTTATAGATATCCTGGAGCTAGTATCAGTTTTCCAGGTAGAAGGATTTTGTAATTTTTCTAATTAAAAAACCAATTTGCCACTATTTTACTTGGGTGTGTCTCTACAGGGCACAAATGATGAGTAGACTATTAAAAAAAACTACTGATAAGATATTTGAGTACAAATATTTTAAAAGGCATGAATGATTAGAGGATTTTTATTATTGAGATAGAGACAGAGAGAGAGAAGGTAGATAGGTGTGTATGTTTTATTGGATGCTATGATTTTACTTTTGTAAACAGTAAAAATAATTTTTTAAGTATTAAATGTCATTGACAAGAAGCCTTCTTTTCCATAAGACCCTGTACCATGAACAGCTAACTTAATTTGAGCAAAGAAAATGAAAACAAAAATGCATCCTGTAAAATTTCTTTAGATTAAGTCGTTTCTTTGTGACCAAAGATGGTGTCGACTGTTGGCTGCTAATGAGAATACATAAAGTCAATATAGCAATTGATTTAAATAGCATATATGTGCCAAGTTCTTATAATGTAAAACAAAAAGAAGTTTCTAAGTACAACAAACTACAATTCCTCTAAACATAAGCAGCAAGCCATACACATGCAAAGGATGGCAACTATTCAGAACACGCAAATGAATTAAGAGAATCAAATTATTTCTCAAGCATGTTCAATACTTTTGTGTAATATGTCATGAATTTAAATGGTAGGGAATAAAAAAATTATAAAAAAAATTGCAACTTCAATTTTTAATTAAACTAACATTTTAAGAAATCAGATTTTGCAGACTATAAAATATAAAAAATATAAAAAGAACTGTTGATCAGTAAGTAGATGCTAAACTGAGCTATCTATATATAAAAACTTATGGCTTAAAAATAAAAGATGTCTCAAGTAGTCAACACCAGAACTGCTATAAAACAAATTTCATTTTTAGACTTCCATGAAAGTGAAGTCTGAAACATTTTTATGAAAGAATAAAATATAAAAGAGGTAATTTGCCATTAGAAGGTCAGTGTGCCTAGAGAGGTATAAAATAATTTTTGTCTTAGTTATGATTTTTTTCAGTAAGATATATTCAAAGCAACAAGATAACTTTTACTAATTCATTTTTTTTGAACACTAAAATTTACAGAAATTAAGTTTACCTGACTTGTTAGTTGTATGTACATTTAAAATGTAAAATTAAGATATTTCTGACAGTACAACAAAGCTCTCAAAGATTTAAGATTACACAGTTGACACAAACCAGAAATAAAAAGAATGAAACCCTACTGGAGAAATAACTTGTTTCCATCTATGTTACTATACTCGAGCACCACCAAACTGCAGCAACTCCTCTAACAAAAATAAATATATGAATCCAAAGCAGTTAAGAGTATGAATTGGATGAAAGAATGAAGTACAGTATATAAAAGAATGGTCATGTTTTCTCTCCCATGAAATTAAATAAATTAACAGAATTAAGAGAAAGAAAACAAAATGAAGTCTGCAAGTATACCAAAATGAGGCCAAACAGATAGAAGACTTATACAGACATACTCTGGGAAATTTCAAGCACTTGAATCACAAAGATAGTAATGGATGGATATGATTTGGTTTTGATTTTGTTTTTAAATTGCCAGACCCAAAAATAAACAAAATATGTGCAAGCAAAAGTGAAAAAGCAGCACTACTAAAATATATTACGAAGAATCGGAAGGCTCCCTTTTCCTCATGCAATAAGCAATTAACTTTCTCGAAGGAAAAAGGAAAGAATCTAGATATTTATTTCATCTAAGACATAAAATACCATCCTACCATCTTAAAATATTTTTTCAAGCTTGAAATACAGAGTAAGATGGTAGTGGGAATGGTCTGTACATACTAAAACCTCTACCCACCCCTCCTGCTGGAAGTTGCTATATGCACATTCATAATCTTGACCTAACAGCAAAGTGAAAGAACATCAACATTAATAAACACAGTATTAAATGGTTTCAGACTCAAAATCATTAACAAAATAATGGCAGTTTCTGAATGCATGTTTTGAGCAAAATAGAAAATTCAATATTTTAATTTCTGAATGCAAGGCAGAGTAACTTTTAATCTTGGAATCTGTAATAGGCTTACTCTTTGCTTTAAGGGCAGTGCTTTAATACTCCAATTATAAACAAACGGGTTAGAAATGCTAATGACAACCCTCTAGGAAGAACTGTAACATTTTATAAAAATTTTTATCAAAATTAGAATATTTAAAAATTTAAAAACCTTCCAAATTATACAATCCAGTTAATATAATCTTCAGTTATAGTTTTAATTTCCAGTACAACATTTGCCTGTGCAAAATAAATATAGCAGACTAAAAATGCCCAATTCATGTATTTAACGTAACTAATTCCAATCATTACAGGTGAACTCAGGGGTCCTCACCATAATTCTGGAGAAGAACAGAGTGAACTGAATGTCAAGGTAAAAAGCTGAACCAATTCACAAGCTGACTGGCCAGCATCACTGTATTAGGGCCACTTTTCTTATTCGCTAAGCTCTTTGAAAATAGATATTTGATTTAAAAAAAAGAAGAAGAAAGCTAATTACTAGTTCTAGTGATGGACGTTAAAGACCCAAGTGGTTCTTTGCTAGAAAATGACAATTTAACATAAACTAAAGACCAGAACACAGAAATTGGCAGTGATTTGGATCAGTGGAAGAAAGGACACAATTATGTATTTTCTATTCTAGGGATAAAGTAATAGAGATCTAAGGACCAAAAGTGGTAATCCCAGCTTCATGACAGCACCTACCATCTTGGGATAAGAAATTAAAAAGCCACTTTTATGTTGTCACTTCTCAAACACATCCAGAAAGTAATACTTAAGTGGCTAAAAAAGCAATGCCAAATTCTCAGTGGCATTTTTCTAATTACTAAAGTGGATAATCTAACTTGTTGAATTTACAGATTTTTTTTCCTCTTTGGGACTCAATAAAGTATTTTCATTTTGAAATTTTTAAATGGAGGCCTACGAGCTTTTTCATTTTTCATCTTTGTATGGCTTTGAACAACAACAACAAAAAGCTGTTCATTAGCATTTAGATTGAAATTTAAAAAAAAAACAATTTACACAGTTAACTTAGGGTTTGAAAAAAAATGCATAGGAAATGCCAGAGAAAATTTAGTTTTATAAAGCTATGAGTCTATTAAAAACATTTTCAATATGAGGCAATATGCTTTGTAAAAATGTCCAAGGTTGACAATATTTTACTGAGTCTTACTTATTACAGTGTTATTACAGTGTTTAGATGTCAGAAGGTTGCTTCCCTGGTCAAAATATTTAATTCCAATTTTTAGAACATTTAATTTTTAGAACCTTTAATTCAATTTTGGAAAATTTGTTATCTTATACTTTTTCTTGGCCACTTTTAATATGGAACTGAAAACCATTATGTTAAGACTTTGGAACTGAAAACCATTATATGGGGAAAAGTACTATTTAAAAGTCACTATTCTAAACCTTCACTGCTTTTCACTTTGTATGCAAAACTCTAAAGGTTCAGCTTTTGGTTTTCAAATTCACAGCTTCCAAACCCCAGCAGGCAATTTTATGTTAGAATCCTAATTTAGAAAGATTGGGGGGGGGAGGGGAACCTCTCTGTGAGAGTTAAATTAATTCCACCATATTATTTTTGAAATAAACTCTACATCTTTATATACAAAGTAAACTATCATTTCTACAAATGTAATGTCAGTTAAATGACAATGTTTTAAAAAAAAGAACAAAAAAACTTTCCTTTTACAATGCAGGCAGACAAAACAGAACAAACATGACATCAATGAAACACTAGTAAAATACAGTAAGTCCAATAAAAGATGAAGAAACTACAAGGAGAAACTAGAATGAAAAATAGGCTACAGGGACTACATGGGTTCATTAACACAAAGAATTTTTGAGTCTGGCCTAAATAATTAATTGCCTTTGACATCATTTTGCTTTCCCTTTGTTAAAGTACAGTTTTCTCAAAGTCAGCAATACCTTGTCTACCTGTCCTGTCTGGGAGATTGAAAGATAAAGGTCTGTAAGAGAGAAGAATGGAAAGAGCTAGAAAGATCAGGATGTTCGGAAAAAAAGAAGACTGACTTTAAAAAAGTAGTGACTATATTCAGACCCATTTATTCATAACATGAAATACATAAAACCTAACAAGTCTCCCCAACCCCACCCCTCTACCTCCACCCCCAGGGAGTCCTTTTATTCCTAGGAAGATTCCTGAGTGCCTCTAAAACTTCCCCCAAATCCCACCGACCTCCCAGCTCAAACCCTCCTTTCCCCAGACCCCAATGTCATAGTAAACCATTTTTCTGTCAAATCAGGATAGATGAAAATACATTCAGAGCATATCTTAGTTTCTCCTCTCTTTAAAGATCTGGGAGATCTTTGCTTCTACCTGTCTAGGTTATTAGGAATTAAACTGGTTCACTTTCCACTGTCACCAGAAATATACTACCTTTAAACCAAAATAATAAAATCTTTAATTTCTGACAAAGTAAAGTCACCTAGGTATATCCATGTTGTGTCTTTAAAGTTGTACCTTAATTATACTCAGGCTGATTTTTAAAAGATAAATGCTATTCTCAATACCATTTAAATTAATCTTAAAAGAATGATAACCAGGTCTTTTCATCAACCATGATATTCTGAATTTTAATTATTTCTTGACAAGTTTTTGCTTGCATAATAAATTTTAACTAAAATTTAAGGAAGACTCAGATTAATTAAAGTTTATAGTGTGTTCTCAAATAATTTTGGATTATTCTGCAGTCATATATTTGGTATATATATATCCAGTTTAAGTAAAATGGAAATGGGATCCATACTGAAAACTCTAACATTCCAATGTATCTGGAATAAAGGTGGTAGTCTTCCAAACATATTACAAAAATTACTGAAGAATAGCACAAAGCCAACATTATTTTTGGCATAATTTTTTAAAATAGTGATCACGACTAAATGGCCTCACTTTGACTCAAAATCCTATTTTATAACTAAAATAGTAGCAGACATCACATATAGAAAAGCACCTGTTAAAAAACATAATGTTGTGGTCTATTCCCAGATTTAAAATATATTTCCTAGTAGAGGAGAAAAATTAATTTGTAGTAGGTAACAGCTAACTATACAAGTTAAAAGATGATCAGTGGATGAAAAGTATCAGTACCTTTTCCACCAATATTAAAACCATTTTAAACAGAATTGTTTCTGTGAGATTTTTTTAAGTTACAGTATTCTTAAAACTATTTCCATTGAAAATGTAAAATTTTGTATTTTACTGCTCTTTCTTTACAGATACGGAAAAATTGCCTCATTAGCCAAGTGTTACAGTACAATCAGAAAGCAAATATCCATTATGCAATTATTATAGGTCCTTCATGACTTTTGTCAGTATGTTAATAGCAAACCAAGGACAAAAAAGAAAAAAATAAAAAAGAGGACACCACCAATAAAAGAAGTTTAAAACCTGGAATATGAACATTCCAGACAAAAGGTCAATATATTTTTTACAGATGATTAAACAGAAGTCACAAATTCCCACATATCCATTCATTTCTGACTGATTATTAGATTGTGTCACTGTCTCTTGGCATTTAGAATCTATATCCATAAGTTTTTGTAAAGCAAGTTTGCACAAATTACATAAAACTTTGAGTTATCACTTAAGACTTTAACAGCTCAGAGGTTATAGTAAATCTTTTATTATACTAAATAAGATGAGACAAACCAACTATACTAAATAATATTGTGAGTTCTTTTCCTTGTCCTAAAACAAAACTTTCTGTATTAATCTCGTTTGTTTTCCCTTTTCAAAACCCAGTATTTTAAAAATTGGCTGTAGGACACACCAAATATTAGTAGTTATTTAAGAGTCATCATTATAAGTCTCTCCTTTAGGCAACTCATAGGGATGGTAAATTGAGTTATAGAGAAATGCAGGACTATTTCACTTTAAAAGAGAACACTGGAAAATGTTTTTCTACAAAGCTTCAACTGTTTCTAACCCTCAGATTTTGGATTTAGCCATCTTCCTGTGTTTCATTAAATTCCAATGAACATAGCATTATGTTAAACTGATTCTTTAAAATGCCAACAAGACAAAAATTCTTTAGAACTCACCTGCTGTAAATTAACACTAGCATATTTTTAATACCTTGCTGCTTTTATAGTAATAATCACTGTAAATCAACCAAACACCTGAGCTGGTATTAATAATTATAAATAAAATTTATTTTTCTAGTCTTAGTTATGACTATAACTATGAAAGGTAACGAGTATAGTACTGAATGACATGTCAAAACCATTCATCTTTCTAAACTTCTGCTAGAGTAACAAGAACTACAGTGGCTCAATTACAATACTTGTTATTGATATTCAGCCTAATATTGAGGAAAGAGTCATGAAAATTCTAAAGTAGGATTTTACACAATGCTCAAGTGCTGGTTGATCCTCACGCACCTCATCTAACAGCACAAAGCTAAGCATGTGTAACTAACCAAATCTTCCTCCTATAGAATACAGAAAAAGCCATGAACACATGTATCATTGTATAAAATATGTGATACGTAGCCAGCTTGTCAGTGACCTCTGGAAGGATCCAGAATTAAAAGATTACGGCAATGAATTTCTTTTTTCAGTGTTCACTCAGGCTTGCAAAGCACCAGGTAGAACACTATTTCCTCACGAGAATTCCATTTCCTCTCCTTTCCTTTTCCAGAAATAGTTCTGTGACACCAAAATTATATATCTTTAAAATATCAGGTCTAAGATTTCCTTGATGATTACTAAGGTTTTGTAGAGCAAATACTGATTTCATTATTCAAACACATAGTTTCTTTTTTAAGCTGTTAAGAATCTGGAATTGTGTTTATTACCCAAGGCAGTTACAACCGTGGTTAAAAAAAGAAAACATGAAACTATCAGGTAGTTAGTAGTCACAGAACATTTAACATACTAAGATACGTATATTCCATTTTAAAAAAAACTGAATAAGCCTATCAGCTGTATTTAAGGGTGATACTGAAGGACAAACAGTGAAAGCTACACATCATGCATAATTTATGATCATGCTTACTACCTCCATCAACTAGAGAGCTTTCCATTCTTACCTCAGATTTCTCCAGCTTATTTTGTGCATCAATTTGAGTAACAATCTCATTCATGTTGGTCTCCAGTACCATTCCCCCCATCACCATTTCTGCAAGAATATTGTGAACCTAAAGCGAAAAATAACGTACGATTATAAAGAAAATTCAGTACAAAAATGTTTCATCATTCCAGCAGCTTTTGTTTCAAACACTGCTGTAACTACTTCATAAGTATGAAGTGTAAAATAAAAATAATTTGGAGGGCTCACAATCCATGTTTGCTACTACTATGCAGCCTGAGACAGTTACAGAACCTCTTTAAGTCATAGTTTAATGGGTCCTAAAACAGATATTAATAGTGTCTCCTTCCTAGACTGTTGAAAGGATTAAATGAGGTTATCCCTGGAAGTGCTGAAAACAAAGTAAATGAGCAATAAACATCACCTATTGCTGTAACCAGTTTAATGTTAAAAAAGTATCTACAATGGCCTTTTATGCCAGATTCTTGGCCAATAATTATCAAGTTGTTTTATACTCAAGGCATTTAATGAAGCTATGTGGCACTGTAACAAGCTCCTGATTGAAATAAAGCAAAATTTCTTATTATTGCAGGTATTTTAATAATGTTTTTGTCCCAAATACCTCCATATATGTAATACTTAGATTTTTTTAATCATCAAATATACAATCTTACAGTGACTAAAAATAGCATCTTCCACTGGGGAGAAGAAATATAATCCAGGTGTTTTTTCACAGGTAGTTACTGAATCAAAAATCACCAACTCAAAGGTGAACTAGGGTATCACAGAATAGCATACTTTGCTATAATTTTTTTTTTTTTAAGATTTTATTTATTTGTTTGACAGAGACAGAGAGAGAAAGACCACAAGTAGGCAGAGAGGCAGGCAGAGAGAGAGTGGGGGAAGCAGGCTCCCTGCCGAACAGAGAGCCTGATGTGGGGCTTGATCCCAGGACTCTGAGATCATGACCTGAGCTGAAGGCAGAGGCTTAACCCACTGAGCCACCCAGACGCCCCTGCTATAATTTTTTAAAAACAACGTGGTGGTATAAAGAATGGAGACTCTGAAATTAGGTATGAATACTGACTCTACCACGCATTAGTTGTATGCCCTTCAGCACCCATACAACTGTTACCTTATCTGTGAAATAAAGATAAAAGTAGTATAGACACCTCTTCCAGTCATCATAAGGATTAAAAAAATTGATGCAAAGTATGTAGCATTGTACCTAAAAGATACTATGAAGTAATTTTATTTTAAGATTTATTTGTTTTAGAGAGAGAGGGTGCGCACGAACATGGGGTTAGGAGCAGATGAGAGAAAGAATTCCAAGGAGACTCCCTGCTGAGGGCAGGGCCAGACACAGGGCTCCATCCCAGGACCCTGAAATCATGACCTGAGTCAAAATCAAGAGTGGGCTGCTTAACCTACTGAGCCACCCAGACGCTCCCAGTAATTTTATTTTAAGCAAAAACTGGTTTTGGTTAAATAGATAATTACCAAATTCGATTTTCATTCCTTTATAAGACTGCATGCAAATGTATACATGATTTTTAAATCCTGTCATCATTTACTAATTTTTCATTTTGGAAAGATGGACACCTCACATACAACTCTTGAAGAAAGAATTATAGAAATTACTTTTCCTAGCAAACAAAACCAGAAACCATAATTGTTTTAAAACCTAGTGCTAGTCCACAATAGCCAAACTATGGAAAGAACCTAGATGTCCATCAACAGATGAATGGATAAAGAAGATGTGGTATATATACACAATGGAATACTATGCAGCCATCAAAAGAAATGAAATCTTGCCATTTGTGATGACGTGGATGGAACTAGAGGGTATTATACTTAGCGAAATAAGTCAATTGGAGAAAGACAACTATCATATGATCTCCCTGATATGAGGAAGTGGAGAGGCAATGTGGGGGGTTTGGGGGGTAGGAAAAGAAAAAATGAAAGAAGATGGGATCGGGAGGGAGACAAACCATAAAAGACTCAATCTCAAAAAGCAGACTGAGGGTTGCTGGGGGGAGGGGGGATGGGAGAGGGTGGTGGGGATATGGACAATGGGGAGGGTATGTGCTATGATGAGTGCTATGAAATGTGTAAACCTGGCGATTCACAGACCTGTACCCCTAGGGATAAAAATACATTATATGTTTATTAAAAATTTTAAAAATTAAATTAAAAAAATCTTAAAAAAAAACTAGTGCTAAAAAAATAAAAACTAGTGCTGAATATCATCACTCCTAACTGCTATCCCTTTTGTGACTAAATACCACTTATTGAAATGACGTTTTGGTGCTGCACTTAGGGTACTTAATTCTCACATTAACCTTTGTTACAGTTAAGAAAATAAACTAGCTTTTACTCAAGACACAAACAAATATGTAGCAAACGAACAATTAAAACCTAAGTCTGAGTGACCCAAGTCCCATTCTTTGCTTTCTTCTGTTAACACTAATACATGAAATCGCTATAGCAGATTAGTTTTTAGTCATAATCTATGAAGATTCAATTAAAGGTCAAGAAGGTGATTGGATGATAAAATATAATTACCCTACAACAGCTAACAGGTATCAATCATATGGAGGAAAAGTGTTCAGAAAGAAAGCCCACAGCCAGCAACATTAAAACTTCCGTTTTATCAGAACTTTCCCTCTTTTTTTTTTTTTTAAGATTTTATTTATTTATATGACATAGATCACAAGTAGGCAGAGAGGCAGGCAGAGAGAGGGGGGGAAGCAGGCTCCCCACTAAGCAGAGAGCCCGTTGTGGGGCTTCATCCCAGGACCCTGAGATCTTGACCTGAGCCAAAGGCAGAGGCTTAACCCACTGAGCCACCCAGGCGCCCCTCCCCTCTTCTTTTTAAAACAAATTCTCATGAGAAAGCACAATTTGTAATGCTGATAAAAGTACAGCAACTCCAGTGAATCTTGGAGCACTGCATCAAAAACTAATGATGTATTTTATGGTGACTAACATAACACAATAAAAATTAAAACAAACAAAAAGTACAGCAACTCCACCAACCCCACCTTGCTCAGGCTTATACATCTACTACTGCCTTTGCAGAAATATCTCAGAAACACATGTAGATTAGTGGAAGCCATAGATTTCAGTATTATAGAAATGTTTACAAAGGTTAGAGGTATTAAAATATGAGTAGCCTGCAAATGTGGGTCATACTCAAGAAATACTAAGAACATATGTCAACTTAATAAGGACTAAGATGTAATTTTGTCCTCAAAGTAAAAATAACTCCTATGAAAGCAAATTCAGAAATCTCAAGAAGATAAAAAATACAAATCTCATTTGTATTTAGCCTGTGAGCTAAATCCTTAAGCATAATCTCATTTATTAGAAATATAATATATATATTTATTAGAAATAGAATATATAAATATAATAAATGCCAAAAGGATATATTCTAGGTGAGGAGGTAGAAATTCCAGAGATTAACAGTATGGGAATGAGAATTATCAATTGGGAGATGAATCCAACATTATTAGGGTCACGGTATTCAAATAAGGTACGGAGGGATCATTTAGAAGCTATCTAGTGACAGAAAACTTCATATTCTAATAACTGGGAGGAATTTTTGGCAGACTTAGTAAGAGAAAGAAGATGATAAAAGCTTTGCTTTTAGCTTAGCCCTAACACATATGGCTGACATATTCTAGCATTTTGTTTTATAAATTTTACCTAAAACAGATTTTTTTTTTTTCTTTTTTAAAGAGAGAGAGTGCAGGGGCACCTGGGTGGCTCAGTGGGTTAAGGCCTCTGTCTTCGGCTCAGGTCATGATCCCAACGTCCTGGGACGGAGCCCTGAGTCAGGCGTTCTGCTCAGTGGGGAGCATGCTTCCCTTCCTCTCTCTCTGCCTGCCTCTCTGCCTACTTGTGATCTCTTTCAGATAAATAACTAAAATCTTTAAAAAAGAGAGAGAGAGAAAGAGTGCACAAGAGAGGGATCGGCAGAGGGAAAGGGAGAGAGAGAATCTCAAGCAGGCTCCACACCCAGCAAGGAGCCCAACATGGGGCTGGATCTCACAACCCTGAGATCAGGACCTGAGCTGAAATCAGAAATTGGACGCTTAACCAACGGAGCCACTCAAGCATCCCTTACTTAAAATAGATTTTAATGGAAATAAAAGGGTGACATTATGCTTGAAATATAATTCATCTACTAAACTGCTTTGATGTTCACCTAACATAAAGGTTCAATGGGCTTTTTCTTGAATTTTCATAGGTATTTAATTTTTTTAAAAAACTAGCAAATACCACATTAGTAATGTATTTTTGCTTTTTTGTTTGTTTTTAACTATAAATGTCCAATCTACCCAACTCCATACTTCTTCTAGGTCTCTCTATTCAAAGATAATCACAGTTCATTCTCTCTTAAACAGGTTTCCCCCACTTTCCCAAAGTTCCACGTACACCCTTCACTTTTTAAAAAGACCTACATTCATGCCTGCTTTTGCTAACGGAAAGAAATCCAAAGAGAATTTTCCCTTCTGTGAAAGGGTAATTTTGCTTCTTTGCTTTAAGCCACTTTGGCTTACAAAATGTTTCAAAGGAACACTCTACGTCTCAGACAACAAGGGAAACCTGCATATCCTTCATGAAAACTTCTTAGGCATATACTTGTTATGTGTGTGTAAAGGTATGTCTAATTTACACAAATGAGATCATGTAACATACACATAAAGTCACAGTTCTGCAAGAGAATAAAGAATGGACTGAAAGAGGCAGCAGAAAACAACGGTGTGAATTAAGAAAATAATAAAGGATACTGGTGCCTGGTCTATGTACAAGAATGATCAATGAGGGCGCCTGGGTGGCTCAGTGGGTTGGGCCGCTGACTTCAGCTCAGGTCATGATCTCAGGGTCCCGGGATCGAGTCCCGCATCGGGCTCTCTGCTCGGCAGGGAGCCTGCTTCCCTCTCTCTCTCTCTGCCTGCCTCTCTGTCTACTTGTGATCTCTCTCTGTCAAATAAACAAATAAAATCTTTGAAAAAAAAAAAAAAGAATGATCAATGAAACTTTGTTGGTAAGAGTAAATAAACAAAACCACAGAACTGTAAAATGGTGAATCCACACTAT